TAAATCATTAATTTGCAAAATATCAATCCAGCAATTCAAACTTGACTGTTCCTGTTGCAAACATCAATCTGTTGTCTCAGATTTCATAGTCCATGCGTTTTCATACCAATTACATTCCGTTCCCGTTCTTTCTCTATCTACCTTCTACTGTAATACATTATATGCCTGACCATCGCTATATACTGCTTTTGTGAATATAAGTAACCCACACCAAAATTCTACAACAGTAAGAGATTAAATATTTATATTTCTATAAAGATTTTTTTCTTATTGTCTTGTAAACCTTCAATTTGTTTAATTGAAAATGATGTTGGATAAGTTCTGGCAAATAATAGACATTTAAATCTCATCGACTGCAATGTTATCGATGAATATACCTTTCTACAAATCTACTATAATTTTCAACAGAAGTGATATTCTATTCACCAATTCTTTGATTGGTTATAACTGTAGTGAGATTTTAAATTATAGTTGAGAAATGATTTTACATATCTTACCCATTTACTGTAATTCTCTCAGGTAAATTTTATATGCTTTTATAACCATGACCACAACTTCAAAATGACTACTTAAATAAATGCATATTATTGTTTAGATATGTTTCTAATTAGTTATCAAGGTAGTCTATTATTAATTGAGAAATTCAACCATTGGATATATGTTTGACCATATTATCATTTTTATATTTCACGTTTGTCGACCACATAACTATTCAAAAGTTAATGGTTGAGCTGATTCAACTACTTTTTTTCTCGAGACAACCTGACAATTGACAAGTAAATATTCACCAGTTATTTAGGGTAAAAAAAAAACTTTTTTCCGGGTAAACTAGTACATTTGCAAGGTTATAAAAATAAAATCATCAACGATCAATATACAATATCAGTCTGATGAAAATAAGATGCTTGAAAAACATAGGATCCAGTTACCTTTAATCACGTTTTTAGTAAATAAATAAATATTCAGTATTCCTTCTTAAAGCCTCAAATATTATACTTGTGTATATACATTATCTGATTTATAAATCTAGACATTTTTTTGTACAAATCTTGCTTGAGGAACGTACAAAACATAAAAAGAACGTTTAATGACGTAGCTCAGTGCTAATCAAGGCAATAAGTTATATGACATCTAAAAGACAAATCTATTGAATAGGGTGAGACAATTACTCACAATGTTTAGTTTTTAGTCATCACAGCGCAAATAGCTTGCAATTATCTATTCATTTATATTTGTTAATTTGTTCCAGAAAATCTCGATATCTGAAATATTTCACTGAAGTACTCAATTCAACATAATCAAACGTTATGTGATATCCTAGTAAACAATCAGATGAATTATCAGTAGTCTAATTTCATTCTCATGGTAGAAAATACATCTTCTTTGCAAAACAACCTTTATACAATCGAATTTAATATCATAATTCCGATAATATCATACATAATACTACACTCTATAAAATAGTTCGTAACTGTTTAATTAATCGTATAGATTTGTAATGATTGTATTGCACTTTATTTACATTAACCTTGAATATCATATGTTAGAAATAAACAATATATCAACAACAACGAAAAGAAAGAAAAACATGAAATAAAACTGCAATAAATCTATTTCCAGTAACTATATACATAAAGTGAGGAAAAAGAAGTAGATTTATTGGTTTCACTAAAAACCTACTTAACCATGATTTGCAAGATCAGTTAGTGGCAATCAATTTTTATGTGTTTAGTGTTAGTGTGTTAGTGTATAGTAAATGAATACTCAAGTATGATGAACATATTAGTTCTTTAAGCAGTATTAGACATTGCTTTTTGTAAAATATGAAAATCATACATTAAATACATCATCTGTACATCTTCATTCACTTGTCCTTTACATAATTCATCATTCTTTTAATCTTGTTGTGTTATACTTGTTGCTATCTACTTCCCTTCCTTTTCTCTTCATTCAATCTTCCGCTGGTAAAAATTCCACTTTCAAGTTCTTCTACATAGAACTTATGTCTGTTCACATAAGTAGCGCACATCAAACTAATACACATTTTACATAACTCAAGATAAATGTTTAGTACTTGAGACAATCGATTTTATAGTAAATATACTAAACTTTGCAAATATGAAGTTAATTCAATATTCTCATTGCATATCTATTCTCTAAGATATTCATTGAAATATTTTGAATATATTAAAAAGACGTATAATAGTAGTAGAAATACAAGAAACTCAATTTAAAACATTAGAGTATTTTATATAGCAAATTATTATCTATTACAGTTGTGATTAATTAAAATGTCCTTAAAATATACCATTAACAATTATCACATAGTATGGCGTAATATTATACAAGTCTATAATATCAGTTAATTATCAATAGTTGTTAATTAGTAAGAACAGTTTTATTCAACCATCTTTATACTCAACATCCATTGGCCGAATACCATCAGTAACAGCTTTCTGTGAGAGAGAACAAACCAGCTTTCAGTAGTAAGTAGTAGTATATGTTATTCATGGTATGTGAAATATCAATGAGATATATGTAATAAGAATGAATAAAAAATGATATTGAAAAATATTGTATATACTAATAATCTAAATAAAATTTCAACTGATTGATAAGGCGAAAAGATACTTCAAAAAATAAGTAAATAAATAAAATTAATATCAGAGAGGATTATGATGGTGATATTAGTAATTTAATTGTTGAGTTCAATAGTCAATTAAATCTAGATCACCATGGAAAACCTCCAAGCAGTCAACGTCGTTTTCGTTCTACTATAGGACTCCTTAGCTGTGCGAATCCATGATCCCGCTCACGGGATTTAAACCTAGGACCTTCGGTCTTGCGCGCGAACTTGAGAATAGTCATTACGTGGTCATTGCTGACTGGCTTCAAGAGGTATTTCCTAGAGTTGTAGTTAGAAGCAGTGACCAGTGGAGTTCAACCGGGTCTTTGAGATAGTGACTCACTGAAGACAATGGCGGATGCTGGCTCAATTTCGTGAATTGGTTATAGTTAGACATTAACACCACTGGACGACGACCGGCTCAGTGGTCTAGTGGTTTAGTGTTCCTGCGCGAGACTGATAGGTCCTGGATTGGAATCTCACGAGGCGTCATCGTGGTTGCGCACTATTGAGGAGTCCCCTACTACGACGAAACAGCCGTTCAGTGCTTTCAGGTTTTCCATGGTAGTTTAGCTTTAACTGACTCATGATCTCAACTATCAAAATAAATATGGGTTAATTATTTAGTTAGTTTTAAGTGAATACTGGCGAGTACAAAGAATATAACACTTTTTTATTTATAAAAAGTAGGCGAGAATATAGACGAACCAATCATATCGCGGATAACAGGTTTTGGATTTTGGTGCGTAATTCATTCACCCATTTGACCAAATATCGTCTTGGCATTTAAGTTTATGTCAGTTCGTGATGAAAACCCTAAATTTAATTCCTAACTTAAACCATCAACTATCAATCATGATCCTTGTGTTTCAAACTGCTTTGTAACCCTTATTTAGCTCTAGTAAATAGGTCAACACTCTTAAGGTCACTGTGGTGTCACTGAAACGTCGTCCATAAATTATAGTCTCACCAAAAAATATTAAAAATTTAAATATTCGTTTTGGAATATAAATAAAGAACGTTTGCTTGAAAATTAATAAAATAAAATAGTCATGTACAACTTAATCTTCTTTTTATGAACCATGTAGAGTTGTGAACTTTGCTTGGGTTTTGGTTGAGATCAATGTTAAACTACAAATGAAAATCTGGAAGCATTGGACGATCGTTTCGTCTTAGTATGGGACTTCTCAGCAGTGCGCATTCACAATTCCACAATGGGGAATCGAATCCAAGACCTTCGGTCTTATGTGAGCGCTTAACCTCAAGATCACTGAGCAAGTATTTAACGGTGTTAATATCTAGCCTCCAACAATCAACAATATATATATGTTTGTAATTCACAGCAGCATGATCATCATGAATTAGGTTTGATTAATCTTCCTACCATTCAAGTAACCAAGAAAATTTTAGTTCATTTACAATAAATGTATGATAACTCCAAGCTTCCAGAATCCATCTGAGAATTATTTTCAGTTAAAGGTTAATGAATTACAAGAAGTTGGATGTCTATTAGTAATACTCCTAAGTATAATTGTATATTTCCCCATTCTCAGAATTGAATGATTAGATAACCTGTAATCAAGTATATTTCAAGTTAACAACGATTTCTAAGTTGTAAAACAACAGGTTAAATATAGCATAATATAGTTTTCATAAAACAGTTTTCTAAAATCATGTAGAATAAACAATTCAGTATGATGTCACCAGTTCGGTGTACTTTAGTTAATTGGTAAGCATTTATTTACATGCTGTAGAGTGAATCAAATTTGATCATAGAACAAAAGCGAAAAACACATTTTTCTTAAGAACAGAAAACATATTTATTGCACCTTCTCAACATTCATTACTATAGAGAGTTCGTTGTATTTGTTAAATTTCATGTAACTCAACAAAATTCACAAACCCTTTACTCATTAGTGACTAGTTTTGAGAGATAAGTCCAAAAGTTCTAGTGATAACTCATGACCATTTGAGTTTAACCACATCAAATGTAAGGAAGTCAGTCACAGATAGCAATGAAAGATGACTGAGAAATATAGCTCACTGAATGACTAAAGTTAGAGATTCAAATTATCAAATACTAACTGTATAGTATAGACAAGAAGGTCTTATCATAAGACCTGTATATCTTAGGTTCAATCCCTCATGATGTCGTTAATGATCACTTCTAAGGAGTCCTGTATTAATACAAGACAACTGTCCACTACTTCTTATTATCTTCATTGATGATTTAACAAGATCAGTTAATCATATAAATTAATTCATACATGCTCTTAGTTACCTTAACAAAAACTCTCAAATCTGTTTTATAATATAATCTATAATTTACATCTAAACATTATCATTTAAAGTATAAACAATAAAATACACTTACATTGAAGATTCATATGTTATTATTCTGATTTTGATAATATTATGCTATACAGATTAATGATTATTGATTTTTGAATATCTTGAAAATACATAAATATTATAAATAATAAAATCCAAAAAATGTTAATGAAATATATTATCTTCCAATAATGATCATGAATGAATTACTTTTTTTCAACAATAGTCAAAAGTGTACTTTAACTGACATATAACCGCTACTTGTCCAGTATTATATTCCATTTCATTTAGTCTTTATAAAAATAAATCTAATTCATTACACCTTAGAATTTCATTAACTTAACTTGTAGTATATTGATATAATAATGAATAGTTCCATTAAATTTTTTATACTAATTATATTAGTCCTGTTAATTATACCTGATATTCTTCAAAACTCAGTGATTGATTGTTATCATGAGAAACAATTATTGAATTATTTGAGTATATCTACCTATAAAGTTCTCAAGAGAAATCAATTAATAAGTAGTAGAAATTTCTTTGCAGTTAATTGAAAAAAAAAAGAATAAATTTCCCAGTAGTAATAATTTTGAATTCTGAAAGTAATCAGTAGTATTCTTGTTAATCTATCATATTCCCATGAATATTCCTGATTATAAAGATTGAATAAAAGTTATTTATAAAGTTTCTTTAAATGAAATATCATAATTTTATCATAGTGAATGTATTATCTGACCTAATCATGTATTACCTTTGTATTAACCAATCACCGTTCAATGTGTGTTATGTAATGTGTCAGTGAATTTTTCCCCATTCTTTTTGAAAAAAATAATAAAAGCTAATTATTAACATCTTGAAAATAAACATAAGAGATGAGTAAACATTTTATCAGCATATTATAGGCTTAAAACTATCAGTAAGAATAATATTCGTATTTTATTATTCTTACTACTATCAGTACACCTGTCTTCTTACGATCAACTTGTATTTTTACCTATTATGTGTGGTGACCTATTCTATATCATAGTGATTATTGACCCAAATTGCCTTGACCGGTTTAATATTTTCGTAGAAATATTCATGTATATTAGAGTAAAGCTGATAAAGATCTAATTGAGAATAACTGTTCGCTTAGAATGATATTCATCTAAAATGGACTAGTTGAGTAAGGAAGACAGTTTCACTTCCAAAAAAATAAATAAATAAATAAACAATTAACGAGAATTTAAATATCACTTTTAGGAACGGATAACCTGATTGGTGATTACTTATATTATTCATAAGGCGTATTATATCTTTATTGAAAAAAAAAAATGGTTAAAATCACTATATTTTCATTTTACATAGCGGTATTTTTAAAACAATTACATACATATATAATATAATATACGAGAATAGCATTGTTTCCTGATATGGAGAAATTTTGTACATTTCAAGGATGATTTTCGTGGGGAACTATTGAAAACCAGACACGATTAGATTACTATTTCGTCTGAGGTTAGCACACTTTAATTGAGCACACCCAAAATCTAACAACATATCAAGGCTATGACATTCAGGTTTGGTAGTGAGTATGATATATATAAATCAGTAGATGGACTTCGAATGATCTATACCATCTCATTACATAAAAAAGTGAATGAAAGTAAAATTAAAGACTATTGCATAATAACAAACCGGTCATATAATTTGAATACCCTTTCGTAGAATTATGATTATTGCACCACCTAGAACTTTTAAACTAAGACAAAAAGAAACAGATTATCAGTGCTGTTTGGTTTTTGTTTATTGAGTTCTCAATTAAACATCCCTTCTATAAAACACACAGAATACAAAATACGATTCCCTTCAGCTAAATTGTTTCAATATAAATTTGAAAGTAAAACACAATAACATTCAGACCACACAAGTAAAAATCAAATTTAAAAAAAATCCATTACAAGTTAGAATTTAGAGTTTTTCAAAAGTCAACATTCAACCAAAAATAAGTGTGGCCCCCCTAAGAAAACTACCTGCCTTGGTTTGGGCACTAAAGCAGTATCATGGCCTACACACAAATCAAGCGACCTGTGTGGCAAATATGTATTCAGAGCCCCATCATACCAATATTTATATGTTTAAATAAATAAATAAATAGAAGAATATTTCAACAGTCATATATAAAAAGGTTTCAATTAGCGAACAGTTTAACTTTGTGTTTCATTTTAATTAATACATATTCTAAAAATATTCATAACTTAATAAAATTATCATTTTTAAACTTTTGTATTTCACTTCATATGTGATAAGATTTTACTGCATATAAGAAAGCTAACTGACAACATTTTTTGTTAGTCTCTATGGTTACACATAAATTACTGATTATTAACTAGTAAAATTAAATATTATTATCAGAATGGTGGGGAGGGTTATGGGAATTATAGTATGGTCCGTGTCTCGCGCATAGAATCGTGGATGTGAAATCTCATACCAGAACAAAATGGCCATCCGGTGCTTTTGGGTTTTCAATGTTGATCTAGATTAAATCAACTCATGAGTTCGACTATAAAATTAGATACTATTTATTTGTATATAGATTGAATAGTTCACTAAAAGTCATGATAATTTAATTTTTTTCTTAAGGTTGTTAATAATTCCATGTGGTTAAGACTAAAATTTAAAATTTATTAGTAAACAGTCACTTTTATAAAAGTCAGGAATACAAAGGAAATAGAAAATAATAAATATGGCAAAAATTTCAAACTCCAATGAAACTATCTAGGTATTAAATTAAGAGAAATCATGTAAAAACAAGCAAATAAAGGTTCAACTAAATAAGCGGGTATTTTTTATTTATGATGTAATCATTTGATATTTGAAGTAGATGCATTGTGACTGGCAGTGGTGTCCAAGATATATATATATATATATATATATATATATATAACTTTATTTAAGACTAATAAGCGAGATGGACAAACATAGAATGTAAATATGTCAGCAAAGATCGTTTGAAAATCAGTTTTAATTATCAACAACACCATACTAATCACAATATAAACATTCATTATCAGAATGGGGTAGTGTGAAGATTTCAGTCATATAATAGTTTAAATCATAAGTCAATTAAAGCTAAACCATTATGGAAAAACTAGAAGCACTAGACGACCGTTTGGTAGTCCTAGTATAGAACTCCTCAGCAATGCGCATCCACGATCCCGCCCCACGAGATTCAAACCTGCGATTTCGTGAATTGGTTGAAGTTAGACATTAACACAATTGGATGCCAACAGATTCAATGGTCTAGAGATTAAGCGTTCGCTCGCTAGAACGAATCTCGCAAGCGGGATCCTGGAAGCACAGTGCTGAGGAGTCTTATACTAGAATGAAATAGTGATCCAGTGCTTCTAGGTTTTCTATGATGATCTAGCTTTAATTGACTCATGATTTCAACTATTAAATAAACATTTATATTTTATATTAATCAACTTTATTATAGCTGAATAAAATAGCTTTCATGAATGAAAAATGATTCACTTTTCATAAAATAATTACATGAATGATAATGATAATGTACAAAGCATTATCATATAGAGCTTTAGGTTTACTATACAATAAGTTATTTCTTTAGTATTTTTTTTATCTTTCAAAGTATAATTATTTAGCAATAACAAAAATTTTTATTAAACTTCATTTAACTTATATCTCCATCAAAAAAGAGAAAAAAGAGAAGAAAAGAAAAAAAGAAAAAAGAAAAGAAAATTTAAATATATAGTAATTTTATTTATGATTTGCCTCAAGCAAAATTTAATAAATCAAAATGATATTTTTATTGGTAAATTTTGTCTATAAACACTTCTCAAAATAGAAATAAATTTTGACCTGATTACAAACACTTAATCTTACAATAATAAATGAACTATTTGATGAGAGAAAAAAATGAAAAAAATTTTGTTTTGTTTATTATTTCAAGTTTAACAATCATTTACTTAGTTAATAAACTAATGAAAATCTATTTATTATTAAGTTATCAATATGAGGTTGTAGAGATTATTAAGTTTTTGATTGAGATCATGAATCGATTTTATGTTAGATCACCATTGAAAACTTAATAGCATTGAACGGTTATTTTATTCTAGTATGAGACTTCTCAATAGTGCGCATCCACCATCCCACTTGCAGGATTTGAACCCAGGACCTATCGGTCTCAAGAACAAATGCTTAACCTTCAGACCACTGAGCTGATATCCAATAATGTTAATGTTTAATCTCAACCAATCCACAAAATTGTGCGACCATTTTTCCAATAGAATGCTATTGATGAATAGAGTAGTGTAATTGTTTTTTTACAATTAAAGAGAACTTTCGAAATTTTGTTATATCCCGATAAGAATAATGAATGGTAATTTTTGGGATCCATCTATCGACCAATACTGTGCGTATAGTTTTATCTTAAAATTGTTGTGTAACTAAACTGTTCATATTCATGTCCCTCATATTATGAGTTTTATTTTGACCTATGAACTATTATTATACGATTTACCATTCTTGAATTATGCCCTGTCTATTAATTACTATCGCCCTCATTCACAGCCACATTTGGCTAATTCTTGTAAGAATGTTGTTTCCTATTTTATCGGTACGATGTGGTCTGTCTGGTTGATATATAAACCCAGTATGCTTCAAATAAACGATTCATATCACAGAGGCTTCGATTGGTGTTCTGGACTTAACTGGCTAGGCTAGGTAGGAAGCAAGTCCGACAAGTACTCTAAACTGCTCGCATGTGTTTTATGCATCATTGGTCCGATCGATAATTCTCTGCTCCCTGATCAGCGGTATCGTTGCGTTATACAATAAACAGGGCACACAGGTTCACAAGTTATAACAATTTTAAACTATATAAAAAAATTGTTTTAAGTACTATGTTAATAAAATATTTAACCAATAAGTACTGGTATAATAAAAAAACATTCTATTTACTACAGTTAGTGATATCACTACAAGTTCATATTAAGCTATTCTAACTAGTAAATGTTATCAGTTTCAAGAGTTGATACACATTCTCATTAATATAGATAAATGTAAGTTACTTACTTTTGCTATTCTCTTCTTTTTTTTTATTTCAAACTTTAAAGCAATAACCTTCTTTTCCTTATTGATAACACAATCTCACAGTTGTCATTCTTTAATTATATTACATTATTTATTTGAAGTTATTTACACAGTTATGTAACATCTAATATAATAATAGACTATTGAATAATTTGTACTTATTTAACAATCCGAGTAATTACACTTCGGGAAAATTTCAGTAATGTGAAACGATTTATTCTGAAGCTATAAGCAGTTACAATTTTTCATTGGAAATATGACTCTCATATTCAATTCATTTTAATAATATGTCCTGGTTTAGATTTGCACTAATTAACAATCATTTAAATAATATTTTTTATCTTATATATATAATTTACAGAAGTTTTTACTCCAACTTAAAGTTTATACGTGAGGTAGATTAAAATGGTAAATCGCATAGAATAGTATAAAACGAAAATATGTCGATCATAATGAAGTGGTTACAATAAGTATCGATAATCACTGTATCACACACATAAAACTGAATTAATTTAAAAAGGTTTTCAGTCTGACTTCAGTGAGTTTAAATCTAGTACAGAAGAGATTAAAATCTATCGCTTAGTTTCAACCCATAAATATATAGAGAGAGAGAAAAAGAGAGAGAGATTTAAACTATTTGGTTGCGTTTTTTCTAGTTTTATTTCACAGCTATTTATAACAAGAGTAAATATTAACCAAAATTGATTTTCTCAAGATCAGTTTGCTTTATTTCCAGATCGGCTTGTTTTCATTTATTTATAGAACTCACAATTTTAGTTTTCAAATCATAGATTTCATATTTAGGAATGAAAGTAATTTTTTCTGTATAATTTTTATTATTGGTTAGGAAGTATCATAAAACCAGCGAAACTATGATTTATGGACGAATCAATCGGATATAAAATAACAAGCCTTGAACTTTGACGTCAAATTCTTTCATTTATTTAGCTAAATAGCCGATATCTATTCGTGATAAAAACCGTAAATCTAATTCCTAACCTTAACCATCAACTGTAAATCCTAATACTAATTCCTCACACTGGTTTATAATAACCATTTTGTCCTAGCTGTTAGGTGGATACTCTCAAGGTCACCTTAGCGTTCCTCAAAGGTCGTTCATAAATTATAATTCCACTCATAAACTCTGGGTAACAATGTAATTTAAATGTGATATTTGTTACAAGCTAACATCAGTTAAAAATGTATTGTAAACTATAGGTTATTTGAGAGCTATTCAGTTAATATACGAAACTTATGTTAGTGAAGCATACATGTATGATTCTTAAACGACTGTAGTAGTTTTCAAGTTAGTAGATCTATTTCTAAAATCTTAAAATTAATCTGAATTTTCAATCAATATGATCAGTTTAACAACATTTGTCTAAAAAATAATAACTCTTAATTTAATATAATCCGATGGCGTTTGAAGTGAACGGTACTGGGTTTGAGTCCCAGAATGAACATCAACTCTGCGATGCAGGTGCATCCATCTAACGAGTCCCGAATAGGACGAAACGCGCATTCTAGATTCCATCGCTAGTCACTAACCATATTTGCCTATAAACTACCTATGATAATAATGAACATTGATCCTCAGAAACCCCTCTTGAATAATCACAAAATATATTCATTATGCAGACTTAATATCTTAACAAAATTATTTCGTATATCAATATATTTATGTGTATTTTTCATCTTGAAAATTTTAAACAAATAAACACTCAAAGACAAAGATAACATGATATTAAAATAAACTGTACACATAAAAAGCAACTAATTTACTTAAAGCCTATGACAAAAGACAATAGGAAAATAAGAAAAGATAAATATAAACTTAAAATGGGTGACATTTTAAAAAGAACATTTGAACAACAATAAACAAACAAAAAAACTTTTAGAAAAACTGAAAAAGCCTATAGAGAAAAATGATTCCCTTTAATTACATAAAAAGACTGCTCAACTAGTATAGAAGTATATATGGGAAGATACTCTTGAATGACCTATTTTATTTATTTATTTATTTTCTGTAACAAACTGTTTTATGTTTAGCTAAC